CGCTGCGGCCACGTGCGCCGGGGCATGGGCTGTTGGCGGCGCTGGGCCGTAGCGATTGCAGGCCGAGTGGTACTGAGGGAGGTGTTGGTGCTTATCATCAGTACAGTCCTGCTGCTCCGCCTCGGGCGGGGATGGGGCTGCTTTCCCGCCCCGCGTTTCTCTCTTCGAGCCTTTCTCTGTAAAGGCCAGAGCTTCATTTGTAAAAAGCTTCTTACGTCATCCGTAGTTGCTTTTTTGGTAGAGGTGATATCTTTTACTAGACCCACTAGATAGTTGCAATAAACAAAAAAATCTTTTATTTGCAAGTTTTCAGGCAAAGGAGAATGCGGAGGTTGTAAAACTTCTCCCAGGTAAAAATGAAACTTCATATTGCAAAGGAGAGTTGAAGGATGTTATCAATTCCCCTGGGTAGGAAAGTGTGTTTGAGGCAAACTAAGCTCAAATAAAAGTCGGAGCAGTTTATTTCCCCCGGAGGACTTCTAGCTTCCTTTAATTTTCCCGAGCGATATGAAGTTGCGTTTATACCTGGGAGACATTTTACAATCTTTGTATTCTCTTCTGCCTGAGGAAGGGCACCTGAGCCTGAAAGCTTGCAAATAAAGGATTTTTTTTTTTTTTTTGCAAATATCTAATTAGTCTAATAAAAGATACTGCTTCTACCAAGAGTTCTCACTGGTTTTGCCTGTAGACCAGCAGTTCCCAACACTGTGTTACAACCCAAATGAGGGTCGCGGGGGTAATGCTGGTGGTGCCACACAGAAAAGATGAGCCATGCCATGTGCTGGGAGCTCCTCCATCTCCAAGCCACTGCCACGCTCCACTCCCAGCAGCTGGTCACGGGGAAAAAAAAGGTTGGGAACCACTACTGTAGACCAACATGGCTACAACCTGTATCTGAGATTTTTTTCTTTAACAGGCTGTCACTGCTGCTTCTCTCCTCTGCCCTGTAGGGGCTCTTCCACACTCAGTCCACCTGTCCTTACTTCTTTCTCTGCAGTGCCAGAGCAGTCCTTGTGCTAGGCCCCTGCTGCACAGTCCATCCCTTACGTAGTTCAGGGATGAATCGCACCATAAATGTAGACAGCCCACACGTGCAAAGTAATTTATCGCGTGGTTCATTGGACAACTGCACAATACATTTAGACCAGCCACACAAAGTAATTGTTGCACTGTGTACAGGTGAACCGTGCAATGTTTTTAGACCAGCCACACATGCAAAGTAATGATTACACAATTCTCTGGTGAATCGTGCAATAATTGTAGACAGGCCTCACGTGCAAATTAATTTATCGTGTGGTTCACTGGGGAATTGTACAATACATTTAGACTGGCTACACGTGCAAAATGAGACAGACCACATGTGCAAAGTTATTGTTGCACAGTGCACAGGCAAACTGTGCAATGTATTTAGACTGGCCACACAAGCAAAGTAATGATCGCACAGTTCGCTGGTGAATCGTGCAATCAATGTAGACTGGCTGCATGAACAGATTATCACACAATTTCCTGTGGAATTACACTATACATTGAGACCAGCCACGCATGCAAAGTAATCAACACACAATTCACTGGGAATCTCACAATACATTTAGATGGACCACACATGCAGAGTAAATACCACACAGTTCACTGGTGGACCGCACAAAACATTTAGATCAGCCATGTGTGCAGAGTAAAATGAGCTGCATGTGCAGAATGATTATCACAATTCACTGGTGAATCAGGCAATACACCTAGATCCTCCACATGTGCAAAGTAATTAACACATGATAAAAAATGACTATCCAGCTGTAAAAAGAGCCAACCAGCTATAAAGTTAGTGCTTGAAAATGTGTAACAACTCTGTAACTGTTTTTTATCCAGCTTTAATTTGAATGTGTAGTAGGGGACCTAGGTGCTTTACAGGTACACAGGTAAAGGCCAGTCCCTGC